TGTGCATTACTACAGTTGACTTGTGGGACAAAATAAGTGTTGTGTTTTGTGTTTTTTTGAATTTGTGAATTTTGAAAACACAAAACTTGATTTTTGGAATTTTCTTGTAATAACTGTGCCAAACTGCCAACCAAGCAGTGAATTTCCACATTGTAGTTTTGAAAGTGGTCAAAAGTGGCAGAAAGCATTGTTTTAAGCCTAATACAGGTACTTTCTGACCAGTATTTCAGTTAAATCTGATGTTTAATCTGGTTTTCCCAGTTTCTGACCCAAGGATTCTGAAATTTCAATTTTTGAAAATTTATTTGGCACTATGACACACCTCTCATTCCGTACAAAAGAATCCTCTTGATCAAAAAGAAAGAAAGAAATCCACCCAAACCGACAAAAACTCAAAAAAATCAAAAACTGCAATTTTTTTCACTACAAATGTTTCTTATACTTAATGCCCACAACCTCACTCCCAATTTCCCTACCCAAACAACCAATCACATTCTTGACCTAATCTTCATTTGGACTTTCACCAATTTGATTCCCAAGTGACATAATCTCAATTCAATCACCTTTACTCAATCTAGATCCAACAATTTCTATAAACTTTCTACCATGATTTGTTTCATTTTTGATCTCCAGCAGTTGATTCAATTGAGTTTTCAAAAATAGGATCTAAAATGTATCTATTTGATGAAATCATTGATCTAGATCCCTAAATCCAAAATCCAAAAAAACCCAGCCACAAAAAGAAAATTGAATTTAACATTGAAAAATCAAGTTTCGGTTTTTGGTTTTGTTTTGTTAGCTCACTTTGGAATTTCAAGGGTCTTCCCAAACCAGACCAACACCAACCCTAAAAGAATTAAATTCTGTTGAGACTTAAACCCAACCAATGCAATTCTGTTTCCTGGTTCTTCCAAGAATTTTGAACCTCCACATTTACTTCCAATAAGCTTTTTGAATTCACTTGAACTTCCAGATATACTTCAAACTGAACTAATTTGATTAGAGACAATTGACATGTCATATCAATATCTTAAAGCTTTTGAAATGAATTGATTTAGAAGAGGAGAAAGCAAGTGTTGGGGGTGCAGTGAAGGATGAATCTGAAAAAATAATGTCCATGAATCTAGTAATGGTAATCCTTCTATGGCTGATGTATGTATTGATTCTATACTTTTAATCTTGTTAGTGATTATACCAAGTACTGCACTTGGATCTAATTTAGGATGGACTCTCTATTGTCTTCGCTAGGATCAAACTTGGTAAGGGGGTAGCTAAGAGTCGAAAAACCTTCTGAGAGAGGTATTTCTCGACTTGATCAAGCACCGCCATTGTAGAACTCCTACGCTGTGTAGCGTAGGCTGAGCCGGAGAGGGGATGAAGTACCGCCGGAGAGAAGGGAAGTACAACAGATGCAGTTAAGCTGCCCTCAACCTTTAGAAATCTCTAAGTTCAGAGCAGAGGAGTACAATTCTAAACAAATCTTTCCTGCTACACACAATCAACACCTGTAATAATGTTATTTTATCCTTTCTACTGATAAAATCAGTACCGAACCTGGTCCGAAACAGCTCAGACAAGTCTAACAACTGTACTGAGTGGTCACCAAGGTCCTTAAACACTAAAAGTGTTTAAGCTAGGGTTATAGAAAGTCTAACACAACACTACACAAATATGTAATTATGCTTCACAGTCAAAATTGCTTTCGAAATACACAACTGAGATCTTTGTAGAGATTTGGAAAAAAAATTATATCAAAATTATAAAAATATATTAATATTAATGCTGGAGTAGAAGTTATCTGAACTTCTCCCAACGGCGATGAATTAAAAAAAATTAAACTACTAAATATTTCACCAAAAAAACCAATGTAATATCTTTAAAACTTGCTAAAACAGTAGAAAACTACTTATAGGACTTTCACAGATAACACTTTCACGCGCCAGACTATCAACTTCTTATAAAATATCAACGCTAATACCCTTATACGGGGTTAAAGACTCTAACTCAACTTCTTTATAATAAGATATTCACTCAATAAACAAAAAAAAACTAATATTCAATTCTCAACACACAAACGGAACCCCCAACAACCTCCTTCAACTCTCCTCTTTATACCCGATTCCTCCACAGCCACCTCTTTATTTTATTCAAATTAAACCCTTACATCATCTCTCTCCTACTCAATTTTAAATTCATTTAAGTAAGTCCCTCTACTTTCTCTCGTCTTTTATTCTATTCTTTTCATCTTTGACTGATTCTTTTACATAACTTCATTTGATTTCTTTTTCGTTTATTCAAAATCCCTATTTGATTGTCTAGATCAATAACTTGTCTAGGAATCCGATCGATTCGATTCCGAGGCTTGCCATTTAATTTAATTGATTTATTTAAACTTTCTTTTCTCTTTTTGTTATTTTTCAATCTTCTTTCTAGATCTAGCTGCTTTCCTACGATTCCAATTGATTCGATTCCTAGCTTTGTTATTTAATTTAAAATTGATTTATTTAAAATTTCTTTTCGATTTCTTTCCTAGATCATATGCTTTCTTAGGAATCCGATCGATCCGGTTTTGAGCTTTCCAATTGATTTGTAAATTTGATTTATTTAAATTTGATTGTTTCTTTTTTTTTTCTATTTGTCTAGATTGCGTGATTTCCTACGAAACCGATCGATCCGGGTTTGAACTTGTTAATTTAATTTTTATTTCATTTGATTATTTTGAATTTTTCTTGATGCATTGCTTGATTTGAATCATTTCATCAATATCCAACTCTCAATTTGTAATCTCTTTCTGCTTTTGCTCTTTTCTTCTCTTTTCGATTTGTTTCCTTTTTTTTTATCTGATTCTTTTATTTTTAATTATTATAAATTGATTGTTTTAGTTGATGCAGTTCTTTGAAGATGTGTAATCAGACCCAAAAGAGCTCGCTGAACTAATTTGAAAAGTGAGAAGAACGAGAAAAAAAAAACCTGCCCATACGTGAGAATAAAAAAAATTGAACCGAAACGAAAAGAGAAAAGAGTTGCTCTCCACATCCTCCCCCAACTCGTATCTGTCCCCAGATAACTAAAGCCACCATTAAACCAACAACCTTCCAACCAACAGTCTCCATCCAAACCCATCTCCCTATCAATTCAAAGCCCTTAATAACTCGTTCCCAACTCGTTTCAAGTCAATCCGATCAAATTTGAACTCAAGACCCGTCAGTGATAACAAAACTCCATCTATCATGCCTTCATACTCGCTGACTTCTTCCAATGCTGAATAATGATACATCTGGACTGGTTGATTATATTTGTGAAGTATAGTTGATCATGCATCCTACTGGACATCCGACCTCGTGTGTAAACTGTATCGCTGCTGGAGCATCCTGTACCTGGGATATTGTGGATTCGCAACTGTTGAGGGATCAATACCAGTGCAACCGATGCGATCAACACGAGATCCACTGTGGTAAGTGTTCAATTTTATAAAGATCCTCCTACATAGTGTAATCAAACTAATGCTTCATCATGCCTCTTCAGAATGGACCACACCTACTCCTCCCACCCGAAATTCCCTCGGAATCGAAAGTCTAACTCATATGGACACCCTCCCTGAGACCGAAACTGACTCTGAGGGGGCGGGCGGGGGCATCAAATCATGGGTGTGTAAACCTGACAAACCCCAGTGAACCTAAGCTTCGAGCGCGATGGATGGCCGATGTTCGTCTTTGGAACAACCGAGGAAATGCACCTTTACCACCTCAACATACCCCTACTACTCCACCTGTAGCCTCCACATCCTGTACTAATCCTCGCATCAAGACTCCACCTATCACCACTCCCCCTGAATCAATTCACACACCCGACAACACACCTCCTCCATCTCCTCCTGCTATTTCTTCAGAATTTAATTTTTCCCCACCTAAAACTCAAAAGAACTTCATCCATAAAACGAACACTAAAAATCAAAATAAAAGACCAAAACTTAAAAAAACTTTTCAAAATCAACACTTCTTTCCTCGCAAGCCTTCTCCTATCATTGTTCCTGATTCACCAGTTGATGTTAAACCTAACCTGAACACTACTGTTGAAGATTTAATTGAAACACCTCCTGCATCACCTCTACCTGAATTTAACCACCCTTTTGTCTCTACTCCCGAAAAAACTGTAAATCCAACTTCTGCACCGGTTCCTTCAACTTCAATTCCAAATGATTCTTCTTCAACTGAGCCAAGCACATCCATCACCTATCCTTCAATTACTAGAGACAGAATTGACGCCTTTGAAGCTGAGTTTAAAAATCTTTACACAAGTATATGGTTTGCTAGAAATTTATCACAAGCTGAAGAGTTCATGCAAGTTGGTGGTATTCCCAAGATGATAAGTCCTCGAGATCCCACCATAGCTTTAACTGAAACAATTTTTAATCTTCTTTCTTCCCATTGGAAAATTTATACCTCTAATGTCCAGTTGAAGGGGAGCATTGGGGATTCGTACGTTCTGTGATAATTATCACATGATAATTATCACTCAAAATACATGCAAGCATTACACAGCATGTGACAGCCTTGTATGCAATCAACTGTATGGGCATATGCTGCGCGCGGGGCCAGAGCACCAAACACCCTACCTCTCGCAACCCATAGCCGCCCCTCCGACACGTCCGTCCCAGGCATGTTTTGTCTTTTGCATTTTTTTCCTCCTTCCACTTTGAGCAGAGCAAATTTTTTATACTCCAAGACCCTCATCGTACACTGTATTCCAAACCTCAATATCCACCCACACCAATGGCGGCTTCAACCTTTCTCCTCTTTGTCCTTTTCCATACAACCATCTGGCCACCGTGGTCACATCACATCGTTCCCACTTTACACCCTACAAGCCCACGTCATGAAACCTAGCGGCCCCTACATTGGATCCAAGTACCAGCGGATGCACCCGTCCAACCCCCTTCCTTCACCTACGGTGCCAGGCCGTGTTGGCCTGGCTTGTCCCATGTGCACGGTCAATATCTCACTGATTTACGTATCAGGGGGTGTTGATACGGTCAAGGTCAAAGTCAGTGCAAGCGTTGTCCTTCATTTCATCTGGCCAAAACTGGAAAGACGGGAACAACTGACTTTACATACAACTTTTGAATCCCACTTCTGTTTATATCCCTCGTTGTTCCTATTCACCAGTGCCCAACCAGTGATCATTATTACCGAACCTTCAAGCTGAACCAACTTAACCACGAGTTAGCGCGGATCAACGCCGGCGACAAGTATCCAATTCCTTACAATGCCTTACTCCATGGGCCACCCGTCAACATCAAAGGTGAGGTTGTCACCGAGCAAGTCAGTCCCAAGAATTCACCGCCCAGTGCTTCCCAACGTTCGCAACGAGCCGCCCCATCCCAACTTTGTGCTCGCCCCCGCGAAGGGCCCACCGCCGAGAAGCACAAAAGCGCGGGTCATACTGGTTGTACACAGAAATACTGCAAGGCGGTAACTCAATTTGTTTTCATTTGTCTTGCTCAACAATTTTTCACAAACTGACGTTTTGGGGCATGTAGTGCTGCCATGCATATGGCCCGCCAGGCAAATGCTATGTTCATCGTATCGCGCCCGAACCAAAACAGGCTGCCACCTCTACGCCATCCAATACCTCGACGACAACCCACGCCCCTTTGCCGACAGCACCCCAGCCAAAACGAGCCCGTATAATACCGGAGCAGTGCGCGCAGAGCGTGAGGTACACAGGACACGTGCTGACCGAAGATCGCGAGCTCGTCCTCTCGAACGCCAAGAAATTGAAACAGGACATGTTTAGAAAGGCGTTGGAGCCACGTCTTGACCCGAACAAGGTCGTTAGCTTACATCTTGTCACTCAGGTTGGTTTATTGTTTCACTTTACTTATCATATACTGTAGCATCCATTGACATTGTCAATCATTTTAGCCCACGACCCCGGTCATTACGCAGCATTTTCCCACCTGGCCTACCGTTGCTCTAGACGAATGTGAGTCACTTTGGCGCGAGGCCAAAGCGGCTGCTGGACTATCTTGGAATGGTCACATCCTTGTCTGGGATGAACAACTTAAAAACTGGGTTGGTATTTTTGGTCTTCCTCCGCATCGACTCCAAATTGATCCCTTTTTGGACTGTTCACAGCGGGACATCGCACTTACTCTGCCTCATCAGTACCCCCGCACCACCAGAAACCTCGTGCTATGTCTTCCAAGCCAGCGCATCACCCTAGCCAATGACCTTCAAGCCGTGCTCGAAAGATTCGGTCTAGGCAAACCTTACATTCCTAAAGCTCCTGTTCAATTAGCGACTGTTCCCAAAGTTGAACCTGCGTCTCCACCTCCATTGGCCAAACCCTTTGCAGGAACCTCACAGCAACCGATTGAGGTCCTCAACTCCAAAACCGATTCGGATTTGGACTTGCACGATTGGCCAGAACTAGACATCGCACTGACCGTCTCACCTACACTCTCAGGCGAGGCCAGTTCAGACAATGTGATCCCCGACTTGTTTCGGCACTTGGACCCCGCTTTAATGGGCAACATGGCAGCCCAGGTGGGTCGATTTCTTCATCTCCTCTCATGATATGAATGCTGTCTGACTTTATGATGTGCTTCCCCAGAACCTAGAAGCAGACGAAAAGCCATTCAACTCCAGCAACAATGCCCCAGTCCTGAACGATTGGCCCGGCGAAGATGCCATGACTTTCACCCTTCTCGCATGGCATCTTGCCGTGGGAATGCCTGCCCCGCGAAAACGCCGTATACCATGCTGGATTGAATTTTTTGGAACCGAGTATCAATTGGAGGAGCAAACCGTTTATCGCTATGCGCACTGGGTAGGCAAAGTGACGTATCCCAGATTCAAGGCTTGGCTTGACAGCTGGCCTGAAGAGGGTGAGAAAAATCGCTACAATATCACAATTGTTGAGGCGCGGCGGCATTTTCAAGCTGAGTTCCTGGTGGTGTCTGGTTTGAAACAACCTGGAGATCCAACAGCCCCTCGGAAACGGAAAGAGCGACAGGCGCCTCGGCCATCCAAGAGACGCAGAACGAAGCAATGATGTAGTCATGCTCCTTCCTTCATTTCACATACATTCCGTTGTCCCTATTCACACTTTCTACTATTTGTTTTCCCCTTTCGCCACCGTATCCTATGGAATATGTTTTGTCTTGAATAACAGGTGTTGCTCTCTTGTTACACACACAAGGCATTAAATCTATGGGTAAATAGATTTGCGAATATGTCCATATGTGTCTTCCTGTTTCCCTAACCCCCCTTCTCAATGTGTCTCTTCTTGTCATACTCGAAATGAATAGCAGTTTGACGCAGATTGAACACCCTCAGGTTCCATTACCACCGTGCCAACATGCAACCTGTGTGTTTGCTTTGCCTTTGCCATCCCTTATGACGCGCTTTAAATGGCTTAAATAACAGCGGATAGATTAATACGGGGGGAAAATATCGACTGAAGCGATTAGACGGCAACTCTTGGTTATTTAGTTTAGTAATGGTAATATTTGATGCCATATGAGACTCAATTTATATGCTCATGCAGCAAATAATCCATCTGAGGTAGGTATCAGAGCGGCGGTAATCAACCGTAACAACGCTGATGGCGCTTTTGCACGTCACGCTTTGGTCATACCAAAATTTTATAATTTTTTGGTCAAACGAATGTGGCACACAAACAAGCAAGTCAAACAAAACAACAGCAAGCAAAAGACACAGACACACAAAAAAAAAGAGACGCAAAGGGAAAACAAACAAGCGAGTAGCAGAAGCAGAAAGTGCTTCAAAAGCAAACACAGAAACACAAATAAGCAAAAGTAAACGGAACTAACTCCACATCTAGTTACTAGGATCTTGCAGGTTGTTTCATTCCCATGCGCGTACAGAGGCTGTTGCACCGATGTTCTTTTTCAAAATCGGATATTCGCCCACCATAGTAACCTGCATGCCACTTGTAACTATAGATGTGGAGGAGTAATTTAAGATCAGCACAGGTTACCAACCGTGAAGGAATATGAAGCCTCACTTCTTATCAACAATGAGCGAATAAAATATTGTGCATCCTACGTAATGGAATCCATTGATCACCGCGGCGTTATTGGTACGCCAGTATGTGTAGTGTGTGAACGTGTTGAGGAAGTCTAGCATGGGGACATTCCCCTTGGAGGGGGAATAACTAGTGTCCGATGTCCTATGTAGCGGACCTGGCAACCTCTCCTGCAAAGTATACATGTCAAGCTGGCCGACAGTGTTCCGGTGCGCAAGGACATGGTTTTCGGCAAACTGTTCAATCAAAGTCATATTCAGAGGAACGAAGTAAATCAACGAAGTAAAATACATGTGCACAGGGGCCATTCACTTACACGAACATCGGTGGCCAGTTGTGCTTTGGCCAAAGTTAAAAGCGAAGAGATCTCTTTGAGCTTTCCTTTGAACAAATTTAATAGCATAGCGGTGTGATACTTTTCTTGACATAACATGAAATGTGATCTCTCTGAGTCCGAACCAAAACTTTGGACTTCCACTTCCAAACGACCCGAATCAATTTGATTTATTTGAGCGGTGAAGGTGGATGCCCAATCCCAATACCTGACGAACTGGCCCAGAGCCAGGTTGATGTCAATATTGATTTTCTTTGAAACAAAAGAAAATTCAGCAATGTCTCCAACAGTCGTGGCTTTGAGAGTAAACAGCCATGAGCTGTCATGGTTGAATGCAGGTTTTGGTAACTCTTCTTCCCCCAAAACCTCCCGTGCAGCTGCAGCGGAGATTTGTGGTGCCACAAAATTCTCTGAGGGGTATTTAACGTATCAGTGGGGATTGACGAAGGAAATATGAACCAGGCATTGTACGTATGATTGATCACAATTGGATCCGGTAAAACGGTCGTTGGTGCCGTGAGAATGCCACCTATGACAGCAGTACACTCGTCAGTATCAGTCACAATACGCCAGCAAGAAGTCATATGTAACTCACGTCGTAAGCGCCTGATATCACGCGGGGAAAGACCTTTCATCAGTTCGGGATGGTTGGCGTAGTGGCCGTGTTCTATCAATTTGGGCATGATGGTATAAGGTGATGGAGTTTAACGTTGCGAGACGGACTGAGTGAGAAGTGAAATGCTATAAATGGGATATCAGCGGTGAGTGACCGCAATAGCCCATTTATAGTCAACAATCAGTATCGATGGTCAAGGCATTCCGGCTTAACATCCATTTCCATCATCCATGTTGGCACTGTGGCAATGGCATTGCGATATCGAAAGAACAAAAACACCAGGGTGCTTGATGACTATGCCTTTGTACCTGGCATAGTCAGGTGCCTTGTTTGCCGTGGCTTTCGGTAGCCCCACGCGGTTACAGACCCCACAGGTTTGGCGAGGTGACTGTGTGGCCAATTGGTGACTGCTTCGAAAGGGAGAACATTGGGCCGTTTACTTGCTCTGAAGACGTTCGAATGATTGCGCATACTTCCAATTTTTTGGCGTATTATTGATCATACGCCATTGTTCTACACATCATTAGTTAGTCCGGGCTACCTTGATGTCTCACTTAGTTAGTAATTAGCAACACGAGTAACTGCAAGGAGAAGCAGTTAGATGAAAGTGACCTTCAATTTGAATTTAATTGCACTTGTGAATGCGTCATCAATGACATTCTTGATATGAAGGACAATCCAAAGCATCTCATCCACTTTTGCTATATTCGCTATATTACAACTCGTCTACCCCCATGAATGTCAGTGTATCACGAGCCCATAGAGCATCACTCAGCCATTTGTTGCGCAATTCAACCATCTCTTCAAGAAAAAACTTGTATCGGGTTCCTTGCATGTTGCGGCACATGGAACCAAAACCTCCATACCAAATATTACTTAACTCTCCAGCTGAAGCGTTAAAAATCCATGCGCCATCTTCTTGCAGGTCGGGAAAGTTTTTGGGGTTGGTGTACTTTTGACAGAAATGATCGCTGACTTTATGAGAGGCGTGATGGAATGGATCGACAGGAATGATCGTGTTTTCGAAAGGAGTGGGATCCTTCTCTCCATTGTGAATCACACGCAGTAAGGTGCAGGCATTATCGTAGAAAACCACCTCGGGCATTCTCTCTGGAAAAGCCTCCAACAGGTAGTCCTGGCGTATGGGGGGTCACGTATGTCAACAGGATAGTATTCCACTAATGCAACAAAGTGACTGACCCTAAGAGCACTTGGGGCTTCGGCGTTGTAGAAAGTTCGCCGACTGAGGATGATGCCACAGGTACCCACGACCAGCTGATCGTTGTGAGTGCGGCAGCGGCTGATGGACGGTGTCTTTTTGGGCTTAGCTGCCCCACCATCGCGAGCGGCTTCGTGAATGCGATCGGCTTTGTCGGCGTGGTGAATGTCGTCGAGATCGATTATCTCAGCAGTGAAGGGATTCATGTGCACAGTGGGATTGGAGGGTAGCTTAGAGCCAGGTCGATTGAGCATGGCCTTGAGAGAAAAATTCTTCTTCTTTCGCGCTTGAAAATCGGCATATGCGAGTTGGTGGTCTTCATCGGAACATGTTTGTGATCCTGCATCAGCCAGGGCGGTGCACGGTTGTGCGCAACACCATCCTCTCAAGGTAACCTCATGCTCGGCACAGAACCTAGAGGTAACCTTGGGCAAAGGATTGAGGCACGGGCCGTTGGGAGGGGGGTTACCAGCTTGATAAGCCAGTTCTTCAAGCTGCGCCGAAGATGCCGTGCATCTCCAGTGCCCAATCGTAAGTCCATCAGTAACAACCGCTTGGATGACTGACGTGAGGTAAAATGTCAATATAATCCATTAAAAGTGAGGAAACGGACATACTTTTAGTCGCTTGCTTGCCTTCAATTTCGATTTTCTCTTCTTTGACACACAAAGAGCAGAAGTGATCGCGGAATTTTGACCCTTGCTTGGCAATGTATTGGAGCTCTCGAATAATGGCCGGTAGTAACCGGTCCTCCTGTTCGCCACGGGCACTTACGTAAAGCACGTCACCCCGGCGAGAGCAGCGTCGGAGTAGACTCCACATATCTGTTGCGTCGCGGGCAAGTTCTTGTGACATTCTGGGTGTAATGCTAGGGGTTTCCGAGTGGGTTGGTACGTCCTGATCCTTTACGTAGGTGAGGTTGAAGAGATTCACAAGATTGAAAGTCGAGATACTATTGAAAAAAATAAGTAACAAGTTTTTTAAATGAGGGAGAAAATACTAACTGGGCAAGCATCTGGCAATGTCGAAAGTTCTTGGCGAGTTGGTGGGACATTGCAAAGTGGCAGTGCACCTGAAACACTTCACGGTGACACCCCTGTGCTTTGGTGTAGTAATATCTGGTCTTATTTGATATATAATACGACGGCCTGTAGGTGGTGCCACAATCTACATGCAGGAGTCCCAATGAGTGTTTAATTTTTTTTTTAAGGTGAAGGCAAAAACTGTACCTGAACAAACGCGGGTGTGGAATTCTGCGGAGTGGACGCCGTCCAGGTCATACACATAGCCTTCCCGTCGGGGGCGTATGTGGAGGTTCCGCTTTGATCGGCTGTCGCATACCAGGCAGGCAGAGATGGGGGGTGTAAGATAGAACTCGTGCACCTTGGTGGTCAGGTGGTCGGTCAGACCATGCAAGCGAATCAGAGCGCCGGGATTGATGAATGAGAATGGTAGGGAAGGAAATGCCAGGTTCCAAAGAGCGTCGTAATCGTCCAAGTCCATGCCTACGTCCAGGGCCAGCTTGAGGAAGGGAAGTATGCGAGGATCATCGGAAGTCAATTGTAAGGCGTGGTCTACTGGCTTGTACACGTCGCTGGCGAGGTTAACAAACCGGACAAGTTGTGAAAGTGTCAGCTTAGTTGCCAAAGTCGGGCGACGTTCGTGCAGCTGTGTCAAAAAGTCGGTGAGCAACATTGTTGTAAGACAGGTAGGTACTTGACTAAAGAATTGGGAAGGAGGGTAACAATCAAATCATTCCGGTGTCAGGGGGCTTGCTCTGTCGATGCTGGAGTCAGTGATGTACTGACTCAGAAGTGATCGCGTGTAATATTGGTTATCGTGTGGGATCGAGAAGAGAAGGTGGTGTCGTGAAGGGAGGTGGCTTGTTCTTTGGTTAGTTATGGAAAGGTGGTGATGTTTCAGAAGAGTGGCTGGTCGGATTATGTCAATCAGTTATGGTTGATGTTGATATCGATTTAGTAATGTTGGTTAATAATAATAATGAGGAACGATCGAATGACGTATGGCAAGGGGGCACGGGGTATGTATGGCGCGTCGCGATGCGTGGGCCAGGGGTGAGGATGTCGGCGTAGACCCATGAAAGTGGGACAACGTCAGATCACGAGGTCCGCAGGCATCAGTCACCGGTGCGCTTGTGGGTGAAGTGTATTGCTGCATACAAGCATTGGCCCCGGGGCCGGCTATGCTAATAAGCTGATTTATCACGCGAGCCATGATAGTTATCACAGAAAATACAAAATCCGGATCTACCCAGTTGAAGTGACTGCCAGACTTAATCTTGTGAAGGCTATCAAGAATATAGTAGCTCTTGATGTTGTCTATAGAGCCCATCCTCGTCCTGAACTTTGGCCTCCTCATTATGATGGTATAACTACTGGATTTCCTCCCTACTTCCCTATCCCTTCATCTGGCCATGAGAAGTTTTATGATGAAGTTGCTGAAGATAATCTGAAATTTTCTGCTGACGAGAAAGGAAAGAAACGTGCTCGTGAATGATTTATTCTCTTTTCTGTAGTTGTTCCATCTGTACATATATTCTCTTGTTTGTTTGTTTTTTTTCTTCCTTTCCTGATGTAGTCTTCTGTTAAATGCCCTTTACTTAATTTTTTTTTAAAATCCTCAAAAAAATCTTTGTATAATGTGTTGTCAAAACCTTTTTCAGAAAAAATCTTGAGTAATAATGAAAGTTTTTGCTAGTGTTGTGTATAACTTAAATCGTGAGTAGCCTCCCCCAACTTGAATTGAAAATTACCACTCTTCCAAACTTTGATTCTGAGTATTATCCACCTTCATACTAATTCTTCACTTCCTACTAAACTTTAATCAATCTTCCACTAATTTCTTCATTCAAAATATTAACCTTCAACTTATTAAATTTCTTTGATAATGACTAGCATATCAGCGGCGGGCCGCCGCTTTCAAAGGTTTAAACTACAAAAGGTATGCCAATACTAAGCTATCTAATCCTCTCTCATTCTGATTGATGCTTGAAATCTTCTCATCAATGAAATAATCCCTGTGTAGCATTGAGCAAGGATGTGTCTAGGCTCAAACCTTGTTTTGTACATCATTCCCAGATAATCACACTCACTCCAGGTAGGCTATTACAGTCTCTTATGCAGCTATTGAACATGAATACTTTTCTCTTACATGCTCAACCCATGAGGGTTAGTGTTACACATATTTCACCACCATCCTCCATATCCTGCCTCTTCCTCCCTTTGGTTGTGAACAGGAATCTGCACCAAACCATCCAAATTCTGAGTAACGCTACATCAGCATCACATGTTCCTCTCATTGAAATCATCATATATCTTCTGAAGAACAACACTCACGTGGTCATATTAGTCAGCTTCATGTTATTGAACTGGCACAACTAAAACATTGAAGCTCTACATCTCAATTCAAAACAATCTCTCACCTTGAAGGGTTGCTTTATTGGTTCCAGATTGAAATCAATTAGAATTCATGATTTTTGCAAACACCTCATTGTACCTCACATGACTACATCATTTATTGAAAAATTGATACACTTCTGGGCTTGAATACATTATAAAGAGATATCTGCTAAATGGATCAAAAAGCAGGTCACAACTATCATTTAACACAATCTCTTCAGTTATTGTATTCACTGTCCCCAAGACCTTTGATTTTTTTTCAAATTGATGTCATCAAATAATCCAACATAAAACTCAACCCCAAAAAAAACAACAGTGAAAACATACCAATCCACTCCCTTTTTGATTTCCTCTTATGATGGACAATTCATTTACTCAAAAATATAATAAATAATAAACCATAATCATAGGTAGATAAATTTCTTTAGTTGACCAACTACAACAACTGATTTTATAACAAAATTGGACCCAAATTCATGACATTGAATTCAGTATTTTCCAACTTGGGTTCAATGTAACCCATTTTCTGTGTCACATTATATATTGAAAGTTTTCTATTGATCATTGTGTTGCTTCCAAATTCTTGAAATTTCTCAAATGGAAAATAACTCACAATTAAAAATTTAACTAAATCAAATCAAATCAAACTCAACTTTCACAGGAACTTCTTTCACAAAATTCTCAACCCAAACCCAAACCCCATCCTTTCTTATTCCCTAAAGTTCATCTCTCCATTTATTTTTCTTTCTGTAATCTTTCAATATAATTTAAAATTGATCTATTCAATTTTAAATCGAATAATTTTCCTTCTACCAAAACCTTTTCATAACACTCTTTAAGCTTTTCAAAACACTCTGGTATCACTAAAGGTTGATTTGTTTTTGAATCTTCACCATTTCAAACTGAAAATCGAATCTTTCTTTACATATACTTGACATAGTTGAAAATATATGATAAGCTAAATTAACTACGTATATTTAAATCAGCAAGCTTCTTGATATTTTGGGGAAAAAGAGAGACAAAAAAGCAGGAGATAACTTACTTTCCCAATATTCATGAGTCACATCATCTAACCAAGTGAACTCCCTGATATATGTATATCTTTCTGTAGTTCTCGGCTGGAGCTGTCACCCCTGAAAAGCTCATAGCTAAGTGGGATCAAGTGACAAAGTTTGATCAAAACGCAACTTATCCGACCTCAACGGCAGAGTCTATTGAGCAGATCATGGCCAACTGTGGAGCGGATTCTGAATCGAGTGATCCAGCTAGTGAATCCGGTACTCCTCAGATGGAGGATTATTTAGACCTGGAAGACTCAGAAGTCGTGGCCCAAGCTAAAAGGGAAACAATCGATCCGATCGAACTTCCTCACACCAAACGAGAGTGTATCTTGTACAACTTGGGTGTAGGCGCGACCAAAAAGGAGTTGAAGTATGTGTTTGAAGGCAGTTCCAACTTTCAAGTCATTCCTTCCTATGGAATGCTTGCTTTCAACGAGGCCAGCAAGCAGATGCCATGCATGTATGATTTGTACTTCAATCTTCATGACCCATTACGTATGTCGAATCCTGATTTTGTTGGCTTGATGTATACAAAGTCGATTGGCTTCCTGACTTTAGCCTGATGATGTTGTTACATGGTGAACATTACCTGGTCATCAAGACACCCAAGATTCCGACGTCCAGTACATTGGTCCATCATGCACAAATTTTCGAAGCTACAGATAAGGGTAAAGCCGCATCAGTAGTGTTAATAAACCATACGTATGATAAAGATAGTGGGACTTTATTTGAAAATCAAGCAACCCTCTTCATTCGAGGTTCAGGCGGGTTCGGAGGTAGAAAAGTAGGAAAAGATCGAGGAGCGGCAACAGCTTTGAACAAACCACCAAACCGAGCACCAGATGCGATTTCTATTGAAAAGACCGATTTGAATCAAGCTGAATTATATAGATCAAGTGGAGATACTAATCCATCACATACGAATCCAGACTTTGCAGCAGTGGGAGGATTTAAATCTCCAATCTTACATGGACTTTGTTTTTGAGGATTTGCAGCAAAGGCAGTAATGGATAAATTTGGCAAGATTTCATACTTACTTATGACCGGTTAAGATAGGAATACATTGACGAGATTGCCAATTCCATATTTGAATTGTCTGGTCATGAGAGGCAGGAGGGATCCATGGATGTTCACGGTGAAATGAGACTGATTGAACGTGATCGAGATGACCATGCAAGGTAAACAAACACCGTCGTCGTTTTTAATTCCAGACCTGTACTACCATCAACCAAATGAACTCAATATTCAAGCATTGATGGAATATCAAAAGAATTTGAGAATGCTGGAGACCAAGAATTGACCTGGAGTTTGTAGTCAACTCCAACTGACACGAAGAGTGGTTGACTTGGATGGAAGGCAATCCCACAAACCTGACCTGAAAGACAAACAATGAATGTATGATCGAACAGTTACTTCATTTCAATATGAGTTATTGAAGCAAACCATTGTGTTTGTCAAATCGTTTGACTGATGTTCCCATCTGAAAGCTCCACATTTGGATACTTCCTGAATGAAGTGATGCGGTCAAAAGGGTTGGCTTGGGGTGAAAAGCGATTCCCTTGACCCTATTGGTGGAATTAAACTAAACAAACAAGGATTGGGAATAACTGGATTGTATTTCAATAGAGACATCTGCTAAGACGGGTGCAGTTGCTTACCTATGTGAATCTTGGCAGGACAATTTGAATTGAACTGAATTGGATGATGTCTTGGTTACATCCAGGCAAAGAGCCAATGAGAGGTAGGTGATCGAGTATGATTAAGAGCTGATTCGAAGTGCAACATGGCAGGTAAGCTTGCGGCTGGCGGACACGCGTTGGTGATGGCATGTGAAAATGAGTGTATATTGAAAACAGAAACCGAGTAGCATGATGGAATGATAGTATGTTGAAGGTTGAGGATTGGAGCCATGTGAGTTCGTCTGGATTGATGATGGCAATTAACTGCATTCATGAAGTATGTATTCCGACAGGAGGAGGGTTTGAAGATAAGAAAGCGGGGTGGAGCACGTGCAAGTCAGAAAGTCTATGTTGCACGCAAAAACCTGTGAATTGTTAACAGGGTTTGGGAGTTATGGGAGTTTTGTCTGCGAACGCGGTTTCCCTTTAACTTGAATGATTCTTATTCCCATAACTCAACTAAAAAAAACTTCTAAATAATCCAAGTAACCGTTATCCTAGGCCTTGACAATATAATTTTCAACAATCTCGCAAGAATTCATTCCTCTAAGTATTCTTCAAAGTCCAAGTTAATTTTAAGTCTTCTGTAAGTTTGCTTTGGTTTGACTAAAGTTTTGTCTTCCGTCTTGAATTAGTAGTCCAATATCCAATAATAAGTACTAAGCTTTTAAGTAATGATTAATTTTTTTAAATATATGTTTTTAAATTTTCAAGCTCCTCTTCATAAGTTGTTTTGATGATAAACCCTTTGCCAAAATCCAACACCCTCAACACACCAGTCACGTCCCCACAGAAAAGAAAAAAAGAAAAAAAGAGAAAAGAAAAATTTTAAAAGATGTATGCTGTAGTAGTAACCATTTAATTGTTGTATTGTAGTTTATTGCCGCCTTGATTGTTGTATGATGATGTGCAGCCTCTCCCCAAACCCCCTACTACAGACTTAATTGATGTAATTTTAATTATGATTAATTTGATAATTTGATTTGATGTAAAATAAAACACTGATATTCTCATACCTGCCAGCTAGTCCAACACCCTCATCTATCCTATACCTATCCACCATAAAAAAAGAAGAAGAAGAAATAAAGAAACATATCCCTAACACTTAATGAGATAATAAGTTGAATAATTTTTAATGTACGTAATCTGATAATTGTAATGTGTATATTTTTGATTGTATTTGTTGTATGTAGTAGTAATCCATTTTAGTATTTGTTTGACTTGATTTGTTATGATTTGATAAGTCCCGCCGCAGTCCCCCTACTACACTTGTAATTTGTTTTAACTATCCTACCAGCCAACTAATCCTCCATCCTCAACTATCCTGACCAATTACCCGTAGAAAACAGAAAAAAGAAAAAAGAAACATATCCCTAATTTGAACCCAAAGAATGATAATGATGGTAATTTGTATGTAATTTATGTTGTTGATTTATATTCTTTTGTTTGTATATATTTGTTATGTGATGTTGATTGTAAATTTATTTGTAATGTGTATAATGTAAATTTGTAATTAATGTTGACTATTCATGCCTATCCTCCATCCTCAACTAGCCATATCCCACCACCATAAAAAGAAAAAGATAGAAAAAAGGAAAAAAAAAAAAAAAACTTGATGAATAAAATATGATTTGAAAATGATTGATTTGCTATTTTTGAAAGAGTGTAAAGAAGAAAAAAAAATGAGAGAAGTGAATTAGAGTTTCTTTATAGCAGTAATCCATTGATATTTTGAAGTTGATTTATTGTTAATTGTAACTTGTAACATGTAACTTGTACTTGTACCCATCCCGTGCCCCCTGCTATTGAATTGATAATTTGAAGTATATATAATGAGAGAAGAAGAAAAGAAAAAAATGATTTGAAGTAGTATTCCATATTCAGCTTAATTAATTTGAATGTTGAATTTTGAATTTATTGATTGTTGTGCCCGCCCCGTACCCTACTACTTATCTTGATGTTTGATTAATGTAATAACTATCCATTCCTGCCGACATCCTCCATCCTCGTCAACCTATCCCACACCGCTGAAAAGTAAAAGAGAAAATGATAACTAAGAAATCCAACCTAATACTCCCCACTGATCACTAAGTCCACCAATCCATTATATAAAAATACAGTCCTCCACCTGAAATAAAGAAAAAGAGAAAAAAGAAAAGAGAAACAAATATAACACAAGAAAGAAGAAATTTGAGAATATAAGAGATGTTTTATTTTTATTTTTTAAATTTTAATTTGAGCTACCTGAACTACCTGATTCCTCCTCTTGAAAATCTTCTTTCCTTGCTGCTTCTGAAACACCCCTCGGAAAAAATCTTTTGATATGTTCCGCTGCCACTCGTCTGCTTAATACTGTCCCGTCCAACTCTTCTAGAATATAAGATCCCCCTTGATATTGTTCCCGTACTCTATAAGGTCCATTCCATCTATCTTTAAATAATTTTCCCCATTGTGATTCCAAACTTTTGTTATAAACTAAAACCAAATCCCCTATTTCTAATGACCCTCTTAACCTATGTGAATTCTTCCTATCCCAATATATAATACCTTCCATCCTTGATTTCATCATTCTATCATAAGCCTTTTTCAACATTTCATCTTTCTGTTCCAACTGTTCTACTCTTGCCATTAATAATTCTTCTCTAGTTGTTACCGTATCCCAATCCACCCCAAGGAAGGTCCCCGCCTCAACATCTACTGGTAAGATTGCCTTTTGATTAAAGAGAACTTCGTAAGGTGAAAATCCTGTTGTCTGTTTGGTTGAAATTCTATCTGAAAATAACACTAAAGGTAATTTCTCTGCCCACTTCCTTCCATCTTCACCACACATTTTTACCAAGGTATTCTTCAAGGGTTGATGTCCTCTTTCCACCATTCCTTCACCTTGTGGCCAGTAGGCAGTAGCCTCCCCCAACTTTGAGCCTGACATCCTCACCGCTTCTCTTAATTCTCCTTTAAATTCTGGTCCTCCATCTACCGTAAAACACTTCACCGCCCCATACCTCCAAATCCATTCTTTTAAGATAAAGTCTGCTACTGCTTTTGAGGTTAATTTTTGTAAAGGTTTGGCCTCTACCCATCCTGAAAGATCATCCCTTGCTACTATCAAATACTTAAACTTACTAGTTTTAATATGTACTGCATCTAAACTGACCCGCCCAAATACTGTTGATTCCCCTGTAGCATGACCTCTTTCCTTTTGAGTATTAGGACTTCTTCTTTGACAAGGTTCACAAGACATCACCCATTTCCGCACATCTTCCTTCATCTCCGGCCACCAAAATCTAATTAAACATCTTCTGTAAGTCTCTTCTACTCCCCTATGTCCCATCTCTTTGTGTAACCTTTGTAAAACTATTTCCTGTCCTTCTTTCCTTGAAACTACCAATCTTCCGCAGGGTACTCCTTTCTTCTTTAACCTTCCACGCTCCATAAAGAAGGTCTTCGATCTATGTTGTATCCATTGGAAGTCATTATCTGAACAATTTGATGGCCTCTGAAAATTCTTCAAATATTCTTCAAGTTTTGCCCATAATCCTTCTTGAGTCCAAGGTAGAAATTCACCCTGATTATTTCTGGTAGAGACTGGAAAACCTTCATATGGAGAAATGTCCTTCTGTTCTTCATCAAAATCCTCTCCCTCCGAGGTAGAATCTTCCCCCACTGGTCTTCGTGAAAGTCCATCGGGCATACCAAAGTTCTTCCCTGATTTATGAATAATATCGAAAGAGAATAATTGAATAAAAGCAACCCATCTGGTCATCGGAGCATTTGGTAGAGTTGGTCGGTTAATCATTTCTACCAAAGATTTAGCATCTACTTGAAGTTCAAAATGTTGACCCCATAATTTACTTTGAAACTTCTTCAATATTCTTGCTACTCCACATAATTCTAACTTTGGTTGAGAGTATCTTGATTCTACTGGTGAAAAGACTAAGATTCATAAACACCGGCCTGC